ATGTTGATTCTCTTTGATAATGAACTATGAAAGTGATTCGAGCCTTGACAGAGTCACCTAAGATACCGTTATTTTCTTTTACTTACTCCATGTATAATGGACATCCATGTATATTTTCCCTTGCACTGTCTACAAACATTAACGATATTTTGATTAATTATTTTCTTTCCTTCATTTCGATTGTTATATTTCTATAATTCAATTTCCAATATTTGATTTCCTCTTGCTGCAGTTCATCAATTTTTTGATTTCTTTGATAATATTTTTCATTAAAGTTTTGATAAATATGTCATTTCCTTTCTACCTCTAATCGTTAGTTTTCTCCCAAGTTTTAGTTTGTTACTTTATGCTGTTTTCGTATTGTGCTATGTTTTTTGTTGGTGGTCATCAATTTCTAGGTTCTCGATATAATCAAAGGTATAAACCCTTTCACACAATTTTTCTTTATTACATCTATTTCATTACTCATATAATTTTGATAAAAGTTAAATTTTTTGGTCTATTACTTATTGGGTCTTCGGTGATTATTGGGTTTATAAAAAATTTCTCCCTCCCCCCATTTTGTAGTTATGTTTTAAACAAAGCTCTCTTTCCATTTGCATAAAAGATGGAAGCAAAATGGGACTAATGAGCAATAAACCATGATAAAAAAGTAGTATTGCTCAAACTTTTTGCTTTCATTTTCTTTTTCCACTAGATTATTTTTCTCAATCTTTCTTTTCTTATGGAGCTTAGTAAGAGGTGTTGTAGTAGTCTTTGTAGCTTTTCTGTGAGTGGTTTTGGTGAATGTAAAGTAATGGAATGAAATAGAATAGATTGGTATGACTTATGAGAAACCTAATATAATGGCGTATTTGACTGACTTATGCATTGTACACTAGATTTCTTTTCCTGCCATAAGAAAAGGTTGGCTTGGCCATTACATATAGCGATCCCGGTTATCCCTTTTCTGTTCTGTTGTTTTCCGGACGCAGTTCCGTGGAGTTGGTAGTTGTACCTATCGTGTTGTCAACCTTTAAACTCCTTTGTTTGAGTTTTAGAACAAGTTGGGCTTGGTTGTTTCAGGTTAGTAGAGCTTTAGCTCCCATTGTTGTTGCCGAGTTTTTGAGCGGTCCGCTCGAGCGGGTCTTCTTGCGCTCGAGCGGGGTTTTCACAGTTTCAGTATTTCGTGCCTCTGCAAAACTTCTGCAGATGTGTTTTCTACGCTCGAGCTGATTTCTTGTGCTCGAGCGGGTTGCGCACGAGCGGGATTGTTAGCGCTCGAGTGGGTTGTACTTTTTGGTGTAAGTTCTGGGAGGGAGAAATCTACGCTCGAGCGGACTGGTTTTCGCGCTCGAGCGGATGTACTTTATTCTTGTGTCTTGGAGCTCGAGCAGGCCTTCTTGTGCTCGAGTGTACCTAGCTTTTTGCCCTTGATGCTCGAGCGTTGTGTTCTCCGCTCGAGCGGGAGAGTCGTATATCACTTGACAGCTAGGCTATTTTAAACCACTTTTTACATTTCCTTTCTCTCTCTTACTTTCCCAAAATCCATTTTTGAGAGCTCCTCACTCTAAAACCTAACTTCTCTCTAGGGTTTGATCTAGTAGGATTGTTTTCCTCACCTTGAGCCTTTGTAAAAAGTGTGTTGATCGTCGAGGGCTTCGTTTTGATCCGGAAATTTTGAGATTTGGAGCAACTTTGAGATTCTTCATCTTCTCCATTTGAGCTCCGAACTTGAGGTACGGATTTCCTTGTTCTTTTTCAATACTTCGTCTATAGATAGACATGTGGTAATTTTGTATTGCATGAAAACCATATCCATGTTGGATTTGTTTGAAATCATGAGAAGGAACCTAGGGTTGGATGTTTGAAAAGAATGGTTATGTTGTCATTGATGGTTGTTTTGGGCTGATTGGAGTGTAATTTAGCATGTTATAGTTGATAGAAGAAAAAGCCCTAAATCATATTTTGGTTGATAAATTAAAATGGAGAATAGTGAACCCTTTTTGAAAATCTCTATTGTTGATGAGGGTTGGGTGAAGGTGTTAATACCTAAGGGGTTAACTTTGGCTTTGGAATGGTTTGAAATGAATGTAATGGACTAATGTGAGTCATGGTAGAAAACTATCATTTTAGTATCATAAACTTGCCTTGTAGAGAGAGAAGCTCTAGGAGGAAGAAGAGTTTTAGAGTGAGGAAGTAGATCTTCAAGCTTGGTTCCTAGAGATCGGACCGTTAGATCCGTGTTCCAAGGTTAGATTCTTGATCTGCTCTTGTTGTTCTCTATGTTCATGTTATTGCATTGCATGATCGGATATGACTTGCAAGCCATGCATCGTTTTGAAGTTCGATTTTTGAAAGAGAAAATGACATTCATGTGTTCTTCAAGAAAGTCTTGTTTTGATCCGAAAGCTTGCATAAAGAATCATGTTTTTGTGTTTATTTCCACAAGGATTCCAAGTACGGGTACCCAGGTCCATGTTTTCAAACTCATAGCACGAAAATCCCAGATTTGTGATGACAGATTATGATCAAACATTCGTATTTTTCATGTTTTCACACTCATGTTCTTCATGTTCATCAGCAGAGGGGAACCCAGAGTTTCCTGACCTCTTTTCCTTGCATGTGGCCCTCGGGGACACACCTCGGCAAGGAGGTGTGGAACCTCGGCCTAGACCTGGTTAGTGCCCAGCATGCTTTTCCGAGAACATTTGCATACATGAGAGACTTGTTTGAAAGTGCATTCAATAGGCTTTGCCCTGTGTTTGTAGGACTTGGGCTTGTCTCAACCCCGACGTGTGAAGAAACTATGTGAGTGGTATTTCTAAAAAAGCTATGTTACACTTGCTTTCATAAATCTCGTCTTGCCTTGTTTTGAAAAGTATTTGATCTAGCATGAATGACTATCCCTACTTGTATATTAAGCACTATCTTGTTTTGATGACATTTCTTGAAAGTCCTTAGCTGCAGGGGACTATAATGCAACTGCACTCTTGTCTTGAAAGTCCTTAGCTGCAGGGGACTATAATGCAACTGCACTCTTGTCTTCAAAGTCCTTAGCTGCAGGGGACTATAATGCAACTGCACTCTTGTCTTCAAAGTCCTTAGCTGCAGGGGACTATAATGCAACTGCACTCTTGTCTTCAAAGTCCTTAGCTGCAGGGGACTATAATGCAACTGCACTCTTGTCTTCAAAGTCCTTAGCTGCAGGGGACTATAATGCAACTGCACTCTTGTCTTCAAAGTCCTTAGCTGCAGGGGACTATAATGCAACTGCACTCTTGTCTTGAAAGTCCTTAGCTGCAGGGGACTATAATGCAACTGCACTCTTGTCTTCAAAGTCCTTAGCTGCAGGGGACTATAATGCAACTGCACTCTTGTCTTCAAAGTCCTTAGCTGATCATGCAAAACCTTTATTTCTGATATCATTCACTGAGTATCCAAGCTCACCCTCTCTATATATATGTAGGTGACGAACAAGAAGGCATTAAGGCCTAGACGAGATGCCGATGTGTTTTTGGGTGCATTGCCGACATGTTTTGGAATAGCATTTTTGTACCATCTTGAAGATCATGCTTCTCGGCTTATTTTTCATTTGTACTTGCATATGTCGGCTTGAGAAGCCTTTTGGTCAAGATGTGTTTTGTATTTCATTTCCTTCTTGTATGTAAGTTGTGAGACTTTATAAAGATGTATGTCACTTCATTGGACTTAAGCACGGCTCTCATGGACTATTAGATTCTGTATATGTATATATATTGCTTCCGCACTTGTGAGCCCCATATTTTATACTCTGATTGTGTGTGATTTTGTAAGTCGGCCTTTGGTAATCTCGGATTACTGGCCATCACGGCACCAAACTACTAGGGGCGGTTTGGGGGCGTGACATAATGAGTATACAATAGCGCTGATTTTTGTATTTTGTTTAGAGGGAGTTGTTATTTTATTTGAGTTCTATACAACGTGTGGTACAAGTAAAATTGTTACAAGTTCTTTAAGAAGAATAATATTTCTCTATATTTTCTTAGTATCTTTATCAAAAAATGACACAGATTTCATAAATTTCAATAAAATATGTATAAATTACAACTGCATTTTAATCCCAACATTATTTACACCGTGCCTTTAGGCACGGGCATATACTAGTGGTAAGACATTCGAAGGCGTTTAAAAACGACTTCTATTGGTAAACGGTACTGTTTTAATTAAATCAAAATGCGACGTTTATAAAGCATCGCTAAATAATAGAAAAAGTGACGTTTAAAAAAACGCCATTAAATAAACGTCGTTAAATCCTATTTTTCCTATAGTGGCTCTACCATAAAGAAGGATGATGCAATTATATCAAACTTCTAAAGTTGATTATATCTATATTTTTAAATCTCAAAGGTGATCATTCTAATTTACCGCTTTTTTCTATCTTAAAATTTTGAACTTTTATTTGCATTTATTTATTTCTTTTAACATGGCATCATTTTTTAATTAGAAAATGATTCACCAACAAAAAACATTATACAAAAAGTTTGTCCAGAATCATATACCCTGCTTGCTAGAGAGAGGGGGAGGGCCCTACATGCTTTATACCTTGCTTGCTATTCAATTACCTACCTACCAAACTTGTTTGAAACAGCTCTATGCAAGAAACTGATCAGGGCGTGGACTGATGCTGATGCTGATGTTGGTGAGGCTAACACAAGTAGTAAGGTACGACAATTTCTCTTTCTTACTTGTTGCACTAGTTTTACTACAAGTGCGATCTCTTTCAATTTGGCAATTGGGTCCAAGTTAAAGAAGATCAATGTTCAGTTACAATATGTTACTACAAGAACTAAGGAACTTGGTTTGGTGAAAAAGGCTATTGGGGGGACTAAGTCTACAAATGTGTGCCAAGACAAGAAACTACATATTTGCCGGATGATCCTTTTGTTTGTGGCAAAGATGAAGAGAAAAAATGGATTATTGAATTGCTTCTTAGAGATGCAGCAACTTAAAACAAAGTCGATGTCATTCCCATCACCAGCATGGGTGGAATTGGCAAGACTACTTTGGCTCAGCTCATTTACGATGATGATGGTGTCAAAAACCATTTCGATCTGAAAGCATGGGTTTATGTATCTGACGAGTTTGATGTTAAGAGAATAACAAAGGCAATTCTGGAGTCATTCACTCTCCAGTCATGTGATTTGATAGAGTTAACTAACCTTCAAGGTAAACTTGAGGTCACGTTGCCAAGAAAAAAGTTTTTGCTTGTCCTAGATGATGTGTGGAACCATAGAGATGAAGAGTGGAGTTCACTACAATCTCCGTTGCAAGTTAGAGCACATGGAAGTAAAGGTTGGTATTTTTCCATAATAATACTAGAAAAATATATAAAATAAATTAAATAGAAATAATAAAACAAAACAATTTTTTTTTTTAATTAAAGAAGGAAATACAGAATAAACTACAAAATTAAAAATATATGAATGAACTAGATTACAAGATGGAACATATTACAAGATAGATCCACATAGACGTACAAAATAATATACAAGAAATAGTTTAAATCTAAAAGTTTGAAGAACAAAAGATGAGAGACGCAAACCGAAACTTGTGTGATACCACCGTTTCCTTAAAACAGATTCACCGCCTCTTGATGGGTGCTGGAGGTACGTCGACGTCTATCTTCTAAGGTATGACGGTCGAAACCTGCTTATGCAGAAGCGCCTCTGAATAGTTTCGATAGCAAGAACCAAAGGAGGGGCTAGTAAAAAGAAGATAGAACAAATTTCTTTGGTATAAAAATCATCTCCAACTTTATTATCTCAAAACACCATCTCATTTTTTGTAAAAAAAAAGAAAAAAAAATCTCTCCAAAATTATCCTACCAAGTTGGAGGGAAAATGCCTTTATTTATATAAGTAAGGTAGTCCCTAACCATGAGGGCTATCATCATGAGGGCCATCAAATGCCATTAACTAAGACCATCAACTCTAACCATTAGGACTACAGTTACAAAGGTTGAAAACATATGGCCACTAATATGGTCACCATCTCTATCATCAAAAGATGAGAATTACAAAAGTCTAAAAATTCCATGTGCTTAATATATACAAATAAATATGTATATAATGATATTTAAATAATTCAAACAAATGGGTTGTGAAACGGCTACAGGTGTTGGGTCACAACCTAATCCAAACGCAATCTCAAACACATGCACAAGTTAAGCCCAACACAATACAGTTTACCCCAAGCTCAAGCCTAAGTCTAAGTCCAAGTCCAAAACCAAACCTAACACACGCACAAGCACAAACCTAGACCCAGTCCAAACTAAGACTAAGTCTCAGTCCAAGTCCAAAACCAAACCCGGCACATGCACAAGCACAAGCACAAGCACAAGTACAAGCATAAGCCCAGTCCAAACTAAGACTAACCTAACTTTTTTTTGATGCCCACTCTATAAGATAATTTTCATTCACAACTTAATAGTTTCGGCTCATTATTTTTGTATTTTAATTTTCTTCCTTAAGAGAATACAAATCACTCGGACCTATCTCAACTGACAATTGACTCCCATTTTAATTTTGCATTAAAATTGTTGCAAAACTATTTTCCAACACTAAAATCATTGTGACAACGCGAATCGCAGCTGTTGCGGAAAAGGTGAAGGTGATTAAATATCATAATTTGCCAAGCTTATCACCTAATGTTTGTTAGTTAATATTTTCCCATCATGCATTCAAGAATATAAATATTAGCGAACATCCAAAATTGGAATCAATTGGTAGGCAAATTGTTGCTAAGTGCGGAGGCTTGCCACTGGCAGCAAGGGCCCTCGGTGGCTTATTACGTTGTAAACAAAATGAGCATGAATGGAAAATGGTACTAACTAGCAATATATGGGATTCGCCATACGAGGAAAGCCACATTCTCCCATCGCTCAAATTAAGCTATCATCATCTCCCTTCCCATTTGAAGAGGTGCTTTGATTATTGTGCAATTGTCCCAAAGGATTACGAATTTGGGGAGGGTGAATTAGTATTTCTATGGATAGAAGAAGGTTTAATTGAACACCCAGAAGGTGGAGAAAAAATAGAAGATGTAGGACGCAAGTATTTTCACAAATTGGTGTCGAGGTCATTTTTCCAATCATCAAGTCGTAATAAATTGTTATTCATAATCCATGACCTCATCAATGATTTGGCTCAAGCAATTATAGGGGACATCTATTTTAGGTTGGAGAATAATTTAGAGGGTGGCAAGTAGAAGAAAATTTCAGACAAAACTCGACATTCATCTTATGTTGCTAGTGAATATGATGGAATCAAAAAAATTAAAAGCTTTCGATGATGCCAGATGCTTACAACCCTTCTTAGAGTTTTTGCCGCATAGTTGCAACTACATAACGAGGTACTTACTTCATGATTTGTTGCTAGTGTTAATGTGCTTACTTGAATTGCGTTTGTGTAGTTTTTGAATAGATGAACTACCAGATTCTATCGGAGATCTAAAGCATCTACGGTATCTCAATGTATCCCATTCTCGGATTAGAAAATTACTTGACTCGGTAATGACTCTACAATTTACAAGTCTTGTTTTTGAAATCTTGTCATCAACTTGAGAAGTTGACTCTAAACATGGGAAACCTGGTGAACCTACACCATTTTGATATGACCATGCAAACATTTGATCATTAGAAGAGATGCTGCTATAGATAGGTAAATTAACAAAGCTACAAACATTGTCAAATTTTATCGTGGGTAAAGGTAGTGTGAGTAGAATAGGAGAGTTAAAAAACTTATCACACATTCGTAGGGCAATACACATATCATAACTGGAGAATGTAAGTTTTGCTAAGGATGTAAAGGACAATTTAATATCTAAGGAGAAGTTAAAAGAGTTATCACTAGAATGGGATGTCTCTCATAATCCATAGAATGACAAAATTGAGATCGATGTGCTTGACATGATAAGACCTCACAATTTGTTAGAACGACTTACCATCTGTTGGTAATTCTAGATTATCTAAATGGGTGGGAGATGCTTCGTTCTCTGAAATAGTGTCTATGTGATTAGAATATTGTAAATATTGCACATCTTTGCCACTGCTTGGACAACTACCCTCAGTTAAAGACCTTTACATTGAAGGAATGAGTGCAATAAAGCGCCTCAAATGTGAGTTCTATGGGCAGTAATGTAGTGTCAAACTTTTCCTCTCTCTAGAGAGATTGAGCTTTGTGAATATGCCAAAATGTGGGAGGATTGGTCTACTTTTGCGAGTTTAGCTATTCAGTCAGCTCAGTGAGCTTTCCATCATATCATGTACGAGACTCAAAGGAAGATTACCCAATTATCTTCCTTGTTTAAAATCTCTTAAAATTGAAAGATGTCCCGAACTTGTTGGAAGATTACCCAATGATCTTCCTCGTGGTAAATCTCTTGATATTAATCGTTGCTCACAATTGTTGATTGATGCTTCAAGACTTGTTTTTCCATCACTCATGTCATTGTTTATGAGTCATGTCATGCTCCCAAGCCTTCCAGCACTCTTAGAGATGAAGAACAAGCTTGACCTTGATTCATTCACCTTGGATATTAGTTTTGTTACAGTTCTTGATTTCTTTTACTATCCAAACATAGCTGATGAAGTGTTACTAGATAATGCAACCTCTAAGAATCTGACTTCAATAACTGCTTTGGACATTTCTTGTGTTGAAAATCTGGTGTTCCTACCTACATGGTTTACTCAAGGTTTAATGGGACTCGAGAAATTAGGCATTAGTAACTGCAAAGAATTCGTGATGCTGTGGGAGAATAATGTGAGCCTGCAACATTGTCTCCCCTACCTTTGGCATTTGAAGATTTATGGATGTGATAAATTCATTTGCTTTTTGAAAAAAGAGTAAGAAAAAAAAAGAAGGTGGTTGGAAAAAGGAGCAACATGAGGGGTTTTCTTGCATGACAAGACTCGAGTATTTAAATATTAGTAATTGTGGAGTGTTGGAGAAACTGCTACACGATTTGCACACCTACACATCTTTTGGGGTGCTTAAAATGGATAATTGTAAAAGTCTTGTCTCTTTTCCAAAGAAAGGTTTGCCACCTATGCTTGCGATTGATACTTGCAATGCTTTGGAGTCCCTACCTGAGTTGATGACACTTAATAATCTCCGAGTGTTGTGGGTTTCTAAATGTGCAAAGCTTACATATTTAACACCAAGAGGTGGGCTACCGTCCATGCTAAATCAACTTTGGATTGAGGTTTGCAGAAAATTAGAGTCACTTTTTGCTGAGGAAGGGGTCAAAATGGACGGTCCATCTCTTGAATCTATTCGTATCCAATATTGTGAGAGGCTCAAATCTTTACCCAATGCCAATAATCTTAGAAATCTCGGTCAATTGGAGATAAGATCATGTTATAATCTAGAGTCCCTGTCACTTGGTGCTCTTGACGAGAACAACAACAACATCAACCAACTCACTTCGCTTTAAGATTTGTGTTTATGTATATGTATAAGCACCCAACTGCACATACTTTGTCAAGGAAGGGAGTTTCCCCACCAACATCACTTCACTTGAAATTGGAAATACCATAGTGGTCGTCGGTCAACTTCTTCCACCTCCATCTCTATTAGAGTGGGGTTTGCACAAACTCTATTCTCTTACCACACTCGTACTTGAAGGCCTAGCTTGGCCATGGGGAGAAAAAGGGATGTTCCTGCCCACCTCTCTCATCAAATTGATGATCTTCAACTTTCCAAATCTGGAAAGACTCTCTTATGAGGAGTTTCAAAACCTCACCTCTAATCCAATACTGAAACAGAAGTGTGAAAAGGGGAAAGGCCAATATTGGCCCATCATGCAATACATGCCTTATGTATTGTATATATATACGCAGCCAACTGTAGGTACAAATAAATATTTGTCATACCATTTTTTTTGTTTGTTTATTTCTCCATACCGGCATCATCTCATATCTTTATTACAACAGAGGGTTTTCTTTTTCTTTTCTTTTTTTTTCTTCTTTTTGGAACATTAACACAATTGAGGGTTCCAATTTGTTGTGAATGATGGAATTTCAAGTACATTGATTGAACACATGAGGAAGCCCTATAATATTCCAATAGGAAACAGAGAAGAAAAAATAGGGCAAACTAAGCTTCAGTAATGGAAAGATGCAAGGAAGTAGCACAAAAGAAGAAGATTTCAGAGAAAAGAAAATAGCATAACATAGGAGAGAGAATTAAGGGGAGGGGGGGGACCTTCATTACAATCATATATCCCTCCGATACAACCCTAACAAAAAAAGCTTTATACCCTCTTTGGAGAAAAGTTAACTAATCTTTTAACTACTTTGCTAACTAACTCTATAACTTCAGCTCAAACTAGACTCATTCAGCCGCTTGGATTGTGTATATATTTTATCTATTAAAAAGTGAATATATAACTATATTCCAAAATTATATTTTTCTACTTGTAATATATTTGTTAAAATATGAATTTTTGTTAGAGATTGATGTCAACTACATTTTGTCTTTGTTAAGTATAAATAAATATTATGGTCTTTGTTAGAGATTGATGTCAACTACACATTTTCTTAGTTTAGTGACATTTGAAAGTGCCACAAAACTATTGGTTTAATGACATTTTTTAGTCTTGTGGCATTTTAAACAAGTGCCATTTGTATCCGGCCCACGGTAGATACTTGCAAGTGCCACTACACCATCATGGCTAAAAACTTTCAATGACATTTTGATGTCATGGTAGATATTATTTGTGGCACTATCAAACGCCATTAAAAAAAGAGTTAGTGACGCGTATAAGTGTCATTACACTATTAAGACTAAAACCTTTCAGTGACACTTTAATGTCATGGTAGGCACTATTCGTGACACTATCAAGTGCCATTCGTGACGATAATTCGTTGTAGAACAATTTGATCTGCTGTTGCGGAGACTCGAACCGCCAACCTCCCGCACCATAAACCTTATACACCACACTCTTCCCACTACACCTCAATAGCACCACATGATTATATATGCAACATATATTATTTATATAGTACATACATCCATATTACTATAAAAGTATATGTATAAACATAATTATTTTATTGAACATAATTTATTTTAGTCGCCAATTCTAAACTTTTGGCTACTAATTGTTTTTTAGTTGCTAAAAAACTTAACTTTTGCAGACCAAAATCGGATTTGGTCACCGAAGATGCACTTTCAACTATCAAAATTTTGGTCGCCAAAAAATTTAATTCCCGCCTTAGGATTTTACTTCTCCCACGCTAAAAATGACCACTTTTGGCGACTAAACTTATTTTTTAGTCGCCAATTGTAGCCAAAGCTTTACTTTGGTAGCCAAAAGTATGGTGTCACTAAAAAAAATGTCTATCTCAGTTGGTGTCACTAAAACACATTTTGGCGACTAAACTAAAAAAATGACCACTAGTATAGTGTCACTAAAATGTGTTTTTGTTGTAGTGAATCGAAAGTACTATAGTTTTATTTCTTTAAGATTTGTATGTTTGAGAGGTTCTATCTCAATTGGGAGTGAGTTTCTCATAGGTTTTGTAACACCTCAAAAATGCAAATTATAATTATCTGAATTATCCATGTGTTAATTGCGGATTATATGATTTAATTTGTGTATATCTGTCCAAATTGGGAAATTATTTGTTGAGAATACAACTTTGGAACTGAAATTGACGACTATAATGGGTTCAGAAACTGAAATTGGATACATGGATATGCTAATGGGAGTTTTTAGAGCCATTTGGGAAATTTAATTGAAAATTGATTCAGTTTACTGAAATTGCCTGTGATTGAATTAAACCTATCTGATTCGCTAATTTTAACAAGTTAGAATTAAATAATTGGATAGGAATTAGAGCCTAATTCATCTTAGTATAATTTAATTTGGTGTAATTAAGATCATGAGATGATGAGATTAATTTAATTTGAATCAAACTGATTTTAATCTATTTAGTTTAATTAATTTAAGTCTTATGCATTATACCCATTAATTGAATATAAGAGAAGTGTAGTGGCTTTCTTGCATTTTGCTAGTCACCCACATAGAGAGAGTAGAGAGAGGGAGACTTTGAGAGTTAGAACTCAAGAAGAGAAGTAGCGGAAGAACATTGAAGCTAAGTTCAATTCATCAACTTAAGGTAAGACTACCATTTTAATTTCTTGAAATTGAATCCTCTATGCTCATCACCTTTAAAGATATAAGGTTAATTACGATGAATTCATCATTAATTGGGAGTTTATGGTGGTAATTCACCAATTAGAACATGCAAGTTAAACTAGAAAAGACATTGTAGGAATTGACTTGAATTAGCATCATGCATGGCTTAATTCTTGTACAATTATGATCATACTCTCAATTTCTTGCATATGTACAGGAGTGAAGAACTTGGATTCAATTTGCCAGCCTTATGAGTGTATATGTATATTTGAATACTTGGTGTGAAATTGGAAATGAGGAATTATGACCATATAAATGAAGATTGGATGAGTTACTTCTTAAAGCTTAGCATGCATGGCATAATGTCATGAAATTCATGTTTGTAGATCATGTTTTCTTGCATGATCATCATTTTTGGGGAGGAAACTCCATAGATTTGAAAAATGGAACTCTTATATGCATGTTTATGCTTTTTACCAACTTAAATTTCGGACTGGTTTTTCACCCAGACCGCTCGAGCAGCCTGGGCCACCGCTCGAGCGGCCAACCTTGATTTGGCCAAAGATGCACACTGCTTCACCACTGCTCGTGCGGCCAAGGCCACCGCACGAGCGGCCAAACAGGGCAGATTTTCCAATTTTGTTTTCTTTTCATTTTATGATTTCTGGGCCTTCATTTACATGATTTTCACATGTCATACATATCCATATGCATATTATAAGCACGAAACAAATTAAAGAAAGAATAGAAACAACCGAACGAACAAGTAACGGATTAACTAAAGAAGGTTAAGAATCGACTGATTGACTCGAATGTATATTGAGAAATTGTGCTATGAATATTTGTGTTTGTAGGTCAAGACTCGAAGACCAAACAACGGGTATTGGAAAGCCACTGTGAGTAACATTTCTGTAAAGATATGTTGATATGCACTGTACTTGAAATGTTATACGAAATGCTATATGTAGACACTTTGACCGGCCCTAAGACTTGGGCGCTTTCTTTTGACCACCCCATGATGAAAATTGGAATATGCCATTGTATGAATTTCTCAGCAAAGAATTCAAATTGAAACTTTAATCTCAAACCTCACCCATTTTGGCCAGATTTGTAATTTGTAGTATTTTATAATTTGGTGTGTGTGTACATGATTTTAAGTGTTTTTATCAAAACCAAAAACAAAAACAGAAAAAGAAAAAGAAGAAATACAAAAAATAGTATGGTCAGGAGAATATCCTGTTTTTGGGTAGGATGATTATGTTTTATGAGTGGGTGGAGAATATTATATTTTTAGAAAAAAAGAAAAGAGAAAGCAGAGGCTGACTACATTTATTTTGAAAAAAAGAAAGGTAATGGTGAACATGGTGTATGGCCAAGATGATAATGTTTGTTTTGGTGGAAAGAGAATATTTGTAGAAAGAGAATAGGTGTTCATGTGATTGGGGTCATGGGTGATATTGTTTTGTTTAGAGAGAAAAGGCTGTAGAGAGAGAGAAGGTGACAAAAAATTAATAAAAGAGAGAAAACAAAAGCTGAGGGGGGACGAACACAAAGGGATATATAGACACTACACCCACTCAAAGGCAAAAAAAGGAGAGTTTTGGTTCAGCTGGGGCATGGGGAGGAGAAATGATAATAATAAAAAAATACACAACTCTCTCTCTCTCTTCATAATGCTCGGCAGTGGGGTGGTTTTTAGTGGAAAAAAAAAAAAGATATACACACACGACAGACCTCTCTCTCTGGGAGGCAACCCAGCAACACCCACTCGAGCTTGCTCTCAGAATGACTGAACCAACCTTTCTCTCTCAGAGCAGTTTGGGTTAGGGAGAAGGAGACACAAATACACCATTGGAGCTACACACACATAGGCACGATTTGAGCTACAAACACAGCCATGGGTTGAAACGGAGGGCTCTGACTTTCTTTCACTCTCGGTTGGGAGAGAGAAGACACTCAAACACACCACCAAAAGCTCTCATTAACAACACAAAGCTCATACACACAGCATATACACACACTGATACAGACATCCATCGCACACCACACCACTGCTGCCATCACCATTCACACACTGATCCACAGACCTGGCATCAACCTCTCTCTCTCTCTCTCTCTCTAACAGAGCTCTCTCAGCACCTCTCTCTCTTGGTAGCTTTGACAAAAAATACACACACTGAGATACACAACTCACTCTCCATTCACACAGCCCACATACACACTGATAGACACACACAACACACAAAGGCACACCCATGCACAGGGGCACACACCCAGCACACACACACCAT